GCCCCCAACACCTTGGCCGCGAGCCTCGCGAGCCGAGCGTGTTTGGTGCCAGGTGTGGTGCTGCCAGCACTTCGGCAACTCCTGCGCCTGAGCGGGCTTCGGAGGACTGTCTTGCCTTCATGGCAGTGACGGGCGATGTCTCACGGGTGTCTCACAGGGAGCATGCTCTTTGCCAAGAGGGGCGGCTCCTGGGCGTGAGATGTGTAAGTTCCCAAGGACACGCCGGAAATTTTCCAGCTGCCATGCACTTCTCAAGACTGTTTGTTGGCTTTCTTTGTAAATAGCTGGATGGGAGCAATTGCCTCATCTGAGTGTTGCCTCGACAAGTCTCCAGCACTTAGCTGAGAAATGTCGGCCATTAATACCAGCAACCAGCATTCCTTTTTCTGTCAGCTTGGCTCCTGAGATGCAAGGCAGTGCGAAGCACTTCTGCACTTGGTTGCCGCAGGGCTGGCGCTTAGGCGCTTGTACGCAAGATGGTTAAGAAGGACAGATGGCTTAGCGTAGAAATCGTGGAATCAGGGAATGGTTGCCCAAGCCCTTCTGTGTAGGATGATGGTCGGGCGGGTGCTATAGGCATCTTTCATGACTTCGTCCCGGACTTGCTGAGCTGGTTTTACGAAAAGGCACCGCTCGAAGCCATTCAGACTGGCGCTCTGTGCTGCAGCCTTTTCGTTCTTTTGCTTGTTCGCGAGAATGTCCACTCAGCTGATAGGCTCGCAGAAGTTGCCGGCCTGTGAAATCTGCTGCCATGCCGCCAGTCCAGGGCAGCCGTGATGCCCGTGTGGGCCAGCTGGGGTGCTTTGACCTCTTTTGCGAAGGTGCCAGGTCTACCATGTCCAGGCAAGTAGACACAAGCTTGAAGTTGTCAGGCGATCCTGCCTTCCTGGAGGAGCAGCATGAGATGGTATGGAAGGGTGAGGGCAGGGGCTCCTACACCGCTGCCTCCTACAAGGAATTTGAGAAAGGACACGTAGCCGCAAAAGAAGCCAAAGATGTCATGTCTCACTCACTTTTCGATTTCTGTTGCTGCGGAAGGGAAGGCTGAGTTTCCTTTCGGTGCAGAAGTAAGGAGTATTGAGGCTCTAGATCGGGTGCTGTTTCTGAGGAGGCTGGGAGAAAGAAGTCGTGAATCGACGATACACATCGTACCGGCCGCGGCAATGCTGCCTATGCTTGCTGGCCCTTTTGCTCCTCAGCGCTCTCGGTGCCTCGGCTTTGGGGCCTGGCTGTTTGGCCTCTTTGCACACTGCATCCAAGCTCCGTGTCAGGCTACTTTCTCTACTACCTCTTGCATCGTGTGCTGGCTGCTCAGTGGATAACTGTCCTTGTCGGTCGATGTGGAAGGGGCCAAGCTGCATCTGATCACACGCCAGTGAAGAGCGCACGCTCTCTCCCAGACGAAACCTAGGTCACATGAAGAGCCAGGTGCAGACGATGCTGGTCCCGTCCAGGCTACAATTGATTGTGTGACTGGGTACGACAACTTCGAAGATCTCTGGGATGAGGACAAGAAGGCCATTTGCTGTGATCTTTACGGTCGAGCATGCTCCAAGTTCCATCGCCACCGCGTCGTGACACATGTGGTCTACGACCACGTCTACCATCCGCCTCACCATTACGCGCAGTATAACTGCCATGCTGGGTACTCGAACTGGTATTTCGGATGGTCAGAGCATAAGAAGGCCTGGTGTTGCCACCACGCAGATCTGGGCTGCCCAGGAACATGGCACGGCAGCTATCACC